CAGTTCTCCCTGAGACACCGACAGTCCCGGAGCGCCGCTGCAGGGATAGGGGTGGGAGAGTGGGCAGCTGGGGAGGAGGCTTCCTCTGGGAATCCTTTCCCGGCCATTTTCCCACTGACCACCCTTCTCCACATCACTGCACCTTTGTAGGACAGATGCTGATACAAGGTAACACACTTCACTTTGTCTATTCCTGTTCACATATCTGCCTTCCTGTTCACATATCTGCCTTCCTGTTCACATATCTGCTCCCAGAGAGCAGATTACTTCCTTGATACGGTCATCTTTGCGCCTCTAACATTCACCTGATGTCTAGCACCTCTCAGGGCCCAATTTAAGTGCCAAGAAATATTTGTTGAATAAATATTGAACCAGTTTTTCAGTTGAAGTAAGGCCTAAAGAGAGGAAATGGCTTACCTAGCATCACACAGCATGTCAGGAAGTTGAACTTTTAAAACAGAATTGTGAAAATAAACACGACCACCCAAATGAGAACAAGCAAAGGCTGTTTATTCAGACTTCATTATATTGCAAGGGAGTCGCCATGGTCACTTGCATTTGGAGAGGCTTCAGGTCAGGCAGAGAAGTGGGAAAGCTTTATGGTAGAAAAAAGGAAAGGCTTCAGGTTGTTCTGATTGGCGATTGTTGGCATTGAGGAGGCAGACAGGTAGAAGCAAAGTATCTTATGTGATAGGTGGATGGAGCATAGTAATCAAATTCTGGCTGTTTGAGGCTTTAGGGGTTATTTTAGCTTCCTGGAGTGACTGCTACAAGTAATAGTTTGACTTCTTGGACTGGTTACTGCAGATAATGGATTGCCTTCCTCGACTGGTTGCTGAAGACTGCAGGTCAGAGTTCTATTTTTCTATATGGTCTGGCCATTACTCATTTGTATATTCAGTCTCTTCTATTCACGTAATTATTACCTTTCCCTTTCTTATAAGAAACCCTTGCCTACACCCCATAATTGGAACACTCTTTGGATTTCTGCCTGAATAGCTATTCTTTGATCCCAAATAAACACTTGCTGCCTCTCAACTTTGGCTTTTTATTTTTAGGTTAACATTGGTATATGTGATGCTGACTAGCAATCAGATAGTTAATGTGGGGCCAGGGTGTCAAGAACCCAGTTACATGGAGACGTTTCCTTCAATTCCTGGAAAAAAGAAGGAACCTTGAAAGCTAGAAAAGGAAAGGAGCCAAAAATAAGCCCACCCCTAAGTAAAATGAGACTATTATCCGCTCCAAAAACAGAGTGAATAATTTCTCTCCTGCGTCTCCATTTCAACGGTACTGCTGTTGCATTCTCAGGGTGAAGCTCTGGACAAGAAGTGGCAGGCATTGGGGGAGCAGTCAATGTAATCTAGAATTGAAACAAAGGGCAAACAAGACTGGGGGGGTCGGGGGTGCAACCGGACTACAGACCCCCACAGAAAAGAACCACAATACAGGAACCCCAACAGGCAAACGGAACCCTCTGGTCGGTATCCAGTTACTCGAAACTCTGGACCATATGTGAATTGAGAAGACATAAGACTGGACTGGAACAGAGACCCGCTTGAGCCCTGTCTAGAGAACTCAACGCACCACCCACTTACCATGGAATGTACAAATGAGATGAGAAAGGACACCGAAACGATGCTTCTGCGGGGCTTAGGAGATGAGAACTACCAAGAGTGTGGGCCGAAGTGGTGGCTTCGCACAGGGCGCACGGTGCAAACAACCGCGGTGGGAGGGAAGGAGGCCGCCCCTTCTGCAAGGCCTTCTGCAAGGCCTCCTGCAGCCCCAGCCCCTCTCCCTCACTAATTGCTCCGCAGACGAAGTGACAGACACATAGCGCCTTGGCGCAAAGCCCCACGGGCCGACGGACTGAGAGCCAGCGCAGTCGCATGGAGGTTTGCTCCACAGCGCCTGCTCAGAGCAGCCACAGTGGAGACTACAGGGCCGGAAGCGCGTCACCGCGGCCGCTCTAGCACGCCGGGGGTGGGGGGCTCCTCTGCTTGTCGTTGATCCTTCCAGGCGGTTCCGCCCAACGTCGTAACCCCGCCCCGCCCCGCCCCTCCAGTGGAGTTGGCGGATCGCGGATTCGAGGTGCTGGTTGTGGATCGCTGGCCTCCGGTGGTCATAGCTGGGAGGGCAGCCGCGCAGGCCGAATTCCCAGGAGCCAGCCAGTATCCGCCCAGGGAAGAGCCAGTAGTCACTGCGCGTCCACCAGGCCGTCCCTCTGTGACCCTGGGTGACCGGACCGGCTGGTGTGATAAGGGTTCAGTGCGGCCTGATGGGTCAAAGCCCGAGTCCGCACTAAGCCTGCGGAGTCAGCACCCTGCTGGAGGCTCGTTGCCTCTCCTGTGAGCTCTGCAGCCACATTGGCCCCCAGAGTGGGTGGACACTGAGGACGGAAGAGGGGCCACAGGTTAAACCTGACAAGGTCAGGAGACTGAAAAGAACCACATAAAATGGCATGAACATTTAAAAAAATCATAACTAAGGTGGTCCATGGCGGGAAGTCACATCTTTAGCCTAAAGCTTCCTTCATAAAGTCAATCTTCACTTTAAGTGCGGCTGCCCATTGTCTTTCTGCACCCAAGATGACATCCTTGGAGTATCAGTAATCCCTTTTTCCAGACCAGAGCAGGAAAGTACAGAATCCCTCATTATTATTCTTGTCCCTTGATTAATATCTCTACGTGAGCTATTCATTATCCTGTACCCGCCTAGGTAAAGAAGTACCTGTCTCTCCAATTTATTTGTATCCAATCCCAGAGATTTCCCGCTTTATTTTCTCCCACCCCCTTAATCTACCACCAGTGGATTTCATTTAACCCTCCTCTGATTTAACACCTGATCATTCGCAGAATGTAAAAGAATTTACAAGACTAGCCAGAGAAAAGATTTACTGAAAGTTAAAAGGGAGAGAGAGAGAGTTCTGTCTGGAACTGGCAGAAGTTTAGCCAGGGCAGAGTCCAATGGGGGACAGCAGCACCAATGAGAAGGAGTGCTGGGGTTTGATAGTTTTCCAAGCAGGATGTGGGGTGCTTGTCAAGATTGCAGAGGGGCTGCCGTTACAATGGTCTTCTCCTGGGAATCGTCATGTTCCCATCTATGATGGATGTCAGCTTGCAGGAGGTTGCTGTTGTGATTGGGAACTGTTCCGTTCCCATCTATGATGGGTGTTTGTCAATATGCAGGGGGTTGCCGCTGCAACTGGGAACTGTCCTGTTCCCACCTATGATGGATGTAAGGCGCTTGTCAGCCTGCAGCTGCAGTGCTGGCTAGGGGAGTCAGAGCCAAGCGGTTAATGTTTTAGCTCTCTCCTGTTAGCCCACAAGCTCGCTCCTGTTAACTCTTTGCCTGTCCTATCCTGCCAGCTCACAAGCCCACTCCCATTAATTATTTGTCTCATCAGTTCATGGTTGTAGCAAAATTTCTGGTAGTAAATGCCCAGTAAATATACGTTAAATGGAAAGATGGGGCTGTTTCCATGTTGAATGGAAAGAGGGAATGAATGGATGAGTAGGTGTGAGTGAATGTAAGATGGTGCTGCCACCCATGAAAAACCAGGGGACTAAGTTCAGCTCATTGGAGTTAGCCTGCAGTTTCTGGATTCTAAGGCTAAACAGAGTTAATGCTCTGAGTTTTGCTGTGGTTGCCATGAGCGATCAGAGAGGACTCCATGGAGGCAGACTGTGGATATGTCCAGCTTCTGTGAAGGGTTGATGCACAAGACAAAGGGAGTTCACTCAAGAGGGCACGTGGAAATCTACGGTTGTCTGAGGACACAAAGTCCCTGTTTGCAGGTCATTTAGGAAGTTAGAGTCACTTGAGGGTTATCAGAACTGGTTGAATTGAGTCTGAACCTCAAATAGTTTGGACTCAATTCAACCAGTTGCAAAAATGGGCCAGGCTGCTTGACTAATGCCTTCGAGTCAGTGGCACAGTGTTCTGCTTCTTGGGCCTGCTGGCAGGGACCTGACCTAACATCTCCAGACGACCCTAAGTAAACGGTCAACTCACCTCACCCAAGCCAGGGCAGATGTCAGAGAAAGCCCCCACTACACTCTGAGTGTAGATCCTTATCGTGAAATAAAGCAATTGGTTTGAAGTCCCTATTATCTCTGACATTTCATAATTCCAAGATTCCCAGTCTGTCCTTGCTAGAGAAGTGTGCAAGCGAATTGGGCCAGTGGCAGGGCCCCAGGTCAGAGGCTCAGAGACTGAAGTCTTGCACAGAGCTCAGTCTGGGAGGCTCTGTGGGTCTTCTAAAGATGAGAAAGGGGTAGATGTGAAATTTAGTGCTTGTTGCATTTCTGCTGCATAACAAATTAATGAATAAGTGAATGCATGAGTAAGTAAAGGTGGGAATGGTAAGTCAGGGGGGTGGGAGTGGGGTCAAGGAGGAAGGCTTTGTAGAGAAGATGCTGGAGCTGAGTCTGAAAAAGTCAGAGCAAAGCCTGAAGCTGATGAGGGCACAGTGACCACAGCTAGACGCTTCCTTCTACCACCGCTAGAAACTTCCTTCTGAGCTTTCTCCTGGTCCCGCCTCCTCCTCCCACATGACCAAGCTCTGGCAAGAGCTAAAGCCACTCCCAGAGACTGTCTTTGCCAGGGTGTTTTGGTTATTTGCAATAACTTGCTGTCACAGGGCAAGGTCCAGGAGGACAGAGCTTTCCATCCTCGCTTTGTCAAGGCTTCCCAAAAGCTCCCTGGTACCCAGAGAACAGTGTGTCCAGAGCTTAACCTGGAAGAGCACAGCCATGGTGCTCTGGAGTCTGGTGCTGGGAGCCTTGCTGGTAGCCATTGTGGGGCGCCTGTGCCAGCTGGGGCTGCTCCGGCAACGCGGGCCCCAGGAACCTCCTCTGGACAAGGGCCCTGTTCCCTGGCTGGGTCATGCCATGGCTTTCCGGAAGAATATGTTTGAATTCCTGAAGCGCATGCGGGCCAAGCATGGGGAAGTGTTCACAGTGCAGCTAGGGGGCCAGTACTTCACCTTTGTCATGGACCCCCTCTCCTTTGGCCCCATCCTCAAGGATGCGCAGAGAAAACTGGACTTTGTGGAGTATGCGAAAAAACTGGTGCTGAAGGTGTTTGGATACCACTCAGTGCCGGGAGACCACCAGATGATACACTCAGCCAGCACCAAGCACCTCATGGGGAATGGCTTAGAGGATCTCAACAAAGTCATGCTGGACAGCCTGTCCTTGGTTATACAGGGGTCCATGGAACAGAGTCCGGATGCCAGGTGCTGGCGTGAGGATGGCCTCTTTGACTTCTGCTATAATGCCTTGTTCAAGGCCGGTTACCTGAGCTTGTTTGGCTACACAAAGGACAAGCAGCAGGACCTGCTACAGGCAGAGGAGATATTTGTGCAGTTCCGCAAATATGACCGTCTGTTCCCCAGGTTTGTTTACTCCTTGCTGGGACCCCGGGAGTGGCTAGAAGTGGGCCGGCTCCAGCGTCTCTTCCACAAGACGCTCTCGGTGAAAGATAACCTAGAAAAGGACGGCATAAGCAACTGGATAGCCTACATGCTTCAGTTTCTGCGTGAGCAGGGAGTAGCTCCAGCCATGCAGGACAAGTTCAACTTCATGATGCTCTGGGCCTCCCAGGGGAACACAGGCCCTACCTCCTTCTGGGCCCTCTTGTTCCTCCTGAAACACCCAGAAGCCATGCAGGCTTTGAGAGAGGAGGCTGCCCAGGTCCTGGGGGAGGCCAGGCTGAAGGCCGGGCAGTCTTTCAACTTTGAGGTCAGTGCCCTGCACCGCACCCCAGTGCTGGACAGCGTGATGGAGGAGACACTGCGGCTGGGGGCTGCGCCCACCCTCCTCAGGGTGGTGAGAAGTGACCACGTCCTGAAGATGGCCAGTGGGGAGGAGTACCGGCTTCGCAGCGGCGACATCGTGGCCCTCTTCCCTTACCTCTCAGTGCACATGGACCCTGACATCCACCCCGAGCCCACCGCCTTCAAGTACGACCGCTTCCTCAACCCCAATGGCAGCCGAAAAGTGGACTTCTACAAGGCAGGCAAAAAGATCCACCACTACACCATGCCATGGGGCTCGGGCGTCTCCATCTGCCCTGGGAGGTTCTTGGCCCTCAGCGAGATGAAGCTCTTTGTCCTGCTCGTGATCATGCACTTTGACCTGGAGCTGGTAGACCCTGACATACCTGTGCCGCCCGTGGACCCCCGGCGCTGGGGCTTTGGCACCATGCAGCCCAGCTACGACGTGCGCTTCCGATACCGCCTGCGGTCTCCTGAGTGAGCCCTGCCAAGGGGGCCACAGCCTGGCCAGTGGGGCTGCCTTGGGGGCTCCACCTCCTCCCACCCCTGTGAAGCCCCAGACCCCCACCAGCTACCCCCCACCTCTGTCTTGGTTGTCTTCCTTGCTCTCTGGCCTCCTTCCAGTCACCTCTCAGGCTTATCATTCTCTTTTTAAAACACCGTCTCTCGCAGTGGGTTCTGCAGAACCTCCCCCCCTCCCCCACCGGGAGTCCAGGGGAAGAGGAAATACCCTGCGGGCACCTCAGTTTGGGAGATACCACATGCCTTGGCAGATCCTGAAGCACGGAAACTGGTGACCGTGAGTAGCGCAGCATCTTGCGAATGTTAGCCTCCACCCCCGCCCATGCTGCTTTCTGCTTTTCCTCCACACTTACTCCACGTCCGGTGGGGGTCACATTCTAGAACAGTGTTGTCCGATGGCGATACAAAGCAAGCCACATGTGTAATTTTTAGATTTCCTAGTTGATACATTTTTTAAAAAGTAAAACGCATTTTAAAATAATATAGTTTACTTAACCCATATGTCCAAAGTATTAGCATTCCAACATGTAATCAATAT